TACTTCCTTGCTCTCCACCTCTATCATTTAAAAAAATATTTTATTATTTTTATTTTATGTGTGTGTATTGCCTGCATGTAGGTAAGTGCACCCGTGTTGTGCAATGCCCACAGAGGTCAGAAGAGGCTGTTGGATCCCCTGGGACTGGAGTTACAGACAGTTGTTAGCTGTCATGTGGGTGCTGGGATTCGAACCCCGGTCTTCTGCAAGAACAACCAGTGTTCTTAACCACTGAACCATCTCTCCAGCCCCATGAAGAAGTATCTTGAAAAAGATACTTGATGTAGACCTCTATGCTCCACTGCACATACACACCTGCACACATCTGCATGCTCACACACAACACATACAATCTTTCTGTAGCTAAATTGGACAGAACAATGAGGGTCAGAGCATAAGACTAGAACCTTTAATGTCCTACTCTCACAGGGCTTTGGTATGTGGAAGGGCTGCAGATGAGATGCTAATAGACACAGGATCTGGAAGTCAAGAGGCTGTCTCTCTGGGGAGCCAAAGAGGGAGCTTGGGTAAAATGGTAGATTTGGCCCATGGTGCCTTGCTAGGTCTCAGAGTTGGCACCAGGAGAGGCTTCTACAGATATCTCTTTCCCCCAGCTCCATGGAACTGAGACCTGGGAGGTGTCTGGTCAGATATGGGTTACCTGGCAGCCACATATGGGAACACTTCTCAGGGCTCATATGGGAGCCCACTCAGGGTGGCAGGTGCCACCAAGAGTGGCAGTTATGGGCCAGGAAATGATAGGTTCCTTTCTCTTGCCAGCCTTACAGGGAGACCTTTGAGTTCTTCATAGAGGATTTCAAGACTTATAAGCCACTGTTATCCTCCATCAAGAATGCATATGAGGTGATGCTGGGTAAGAATGCAGCTCCTTTTAGGGTTCAAACTGGATTGAGCATGTAGTATCATATTCTGACTTTCTGGGTCTCCACAGTGGTAACTGGTCTTTCAAGCTTTTTGTATACTTTATCCCCTGCTATCTTTTAGAAGGATAATGGGGCAATCTGTGGTAAACAGAATCCCTGAACAGTAAGCCTTTATAGGAAGTGAGGAAACTTCCTACCAGGCTCAAGTAATGCTAAGCAAGCTGCAGCTACAAAATGAAATGCTCAGAAGTGTGGGTATGGGAGATCCCAACCCTCATGTGCATTCAGCCCCTGGTTTGGCTGGAGATTGAACCTAGAGCCTCACATGATAGGCAAGTGCTCTACCACAGAGCTATGTCCTGATCCCCAAAAATGTGGGAAGGTTCCAAGCAGGTGGCGTGTGTGTGTGCAGTATATGTACATATTTGTGTACGTATCTGTGTCTTGGGGTTAGAAAGATGGCTCAGTGGTTAAGATCACTAGCTGCTCTTACAGAGAACTGGATTTGGTTCCCAGCACCCACATGGCAGCTAACAACCATCCATAATTGCAGTTCCATGGGGATCTGAAACCCTTTTCTGGCATCCATGGGCTTTCACACATGTGGTGCACTTACGTGCATATGGCAAAATACTCATACACATAAAATAAAAATAAATAAAAAATTTAAAGATAGGGTTTCACTATGTAGCCCTGGCTGGCCTAAAACTTGCTACATAGACCAGGATTCAGAGATTTGCCTGCCTCTGCCTCCCTAGTGCTGGGAGGCATGTGTGACCACACCCAGCCAGGTACCATGGTTTTGAACAAGGCATACATACCCTCCCTTTTGCAAGTGATAGTCACTCACCCATGACCTTAGGATCTGTGACTCCTGGCCCTTGGTTCTCCATGGCCCCCAAAGGGTTCTCCTACCTATCCCTGTTTAGCCCACCAAAGGGAGAAAATTCGGTCCCTGGAACCCCTGAAGGCTAAGATCGTCACTATGAGTGAAGACTGCAATGAAAGGATCCTGGCCATGAGGGCTGAAGAGAGATACGAAATCTCTGCGCTCAAGAAAGAGAAGATGAATTTGCTAAAACTCATTGACAAAAAGAATGAGGAAAAGGTTTCACTGCAGAGTGAGGTAAATGAAAGTGGTATGCTGACCAAGTTCCCAAGTTCTGTTCCACCCTCATCTGGGGAAGTTCATGAATACTGAGAAACCCCTAACCCCATCCACCCTTCTGCCAGGGGTGGCACAGCCATGACCATTCCCAAAAGCCCCTACTGTTTCCACTCTGTCCTGCTGCTGTGCTCAGCATAGGGCTCAATGTGGCCCCATGTGCCGGCAAATTTCCTCCACAGGTTAGGTTGAAGCACCAGCAACTTGCTGGGTTCTCAAGAATGACTACTTTGCTGTTCCTGTTTAAGGGGATCACCCAGCACCCATCAGACCCCTATGGTAACCAACAGGGGTTCAAAGAAAGTCACTGACTATACAGCCACTTTCCTGAAGGTGTCTGAACTGAGGAAGAAATTGGCTGAGGAGTACTTGTGCTACCTTACTGAACGAGATGCCCGCAAGATCCTCATTGGGGACCTAAATGAGCTGCGGTACCAGCGCGAGGACATGTCACTAGCCCAGTCTGCAGGTAACCCAGACCAGGTTCCTCTCCTTCTGGGGGCTGAAATTTGCCCCTGACCACTTACCCTGTCCAGGCAACATTCCTGGTATCTTACTGTGTCCACACATGATAGATGTCCCTGTTACTAACTGGGGCTGTGGATCTTTTGAATTACACTGAGAACTGTAATGCCAATGCTGGCACTATGACTCCTTATGGCTGGAGAGACCTGGCACCACATGTCCTGGGCTTCTCTACCTGTCTGAACCCCTAGGGTGGTGATGCTGTGGAGCCAGGGAATCCCAGAAAACTTTGGGCATACCCCAAAGGATATTCAACCCAGCCCTGGGTACAAGAAGTCCCAGAGCCAGGGTGACACAAACTGGTGGGCCTCTGGCAGGTGTTTGGGGGGAGGACCCTGTGAAGCTAACACTGGCTCTGAAGATGACGCAGCAGGACCTGACCCGCACGCAGATGGAGCTGAACACCATGAAAGCCAACTTTGGAGATGTGGTACCCAGGAGAGACTTTGAGATGCAGGAGAAGATCAACATGGAACTTCAGGAGCAGGTGCTAATGGGCAGGCAGTTAGGCATGGTAGGGCTTGGTCAGGTAGGTGGGTAACTAGGACCAATTGCCTTGCCTGCAGCTAGACAGCCTGAGGGCAGACTATGAAGAGGTCTGCAAGGAACACGAGTTACTGCTGCAGCTGCACATGAGCACTCTGAAGGAGAGGGACCAGTATTATTCTGAGCTGCAGGAGATCCAGCGTAACTCCACCCCACGGCCTGACTGGACCAAATGCGAAAGTAATCATGTTTTTAGGGGCCCCAGGGCCTGCTGAAGGGCATGGGCAGGATTCTAGCTTTCTCTCCCCACCTGCAGGTATTGTGGCAGGGGGCCCAGAACGCTGGCAACTGCTGGCTGAGAGCAAGAACAGTGACCAGCTGGTGGAGGTGCTCCTGGAGGAGATTGGTGCCGGTCTGCTTCGGGAGAAAGAATTCTTCCCTGGCCTGGTAGGGGAGTCCCTGAGCCAGAGGCTTTAGGCCAGAGTCAGAACACATTACCAATGTTGCTGAGACTTAGCTTCTTGGGGAACCATCTGAGGCTCTTATCTATTTGGGAAGGAAACAGAGTAGCCCAAACATGAGCTGGCACTTCCCTTTTAGGGATATGGAGACACTGTACCCCCTTTCCTGCGATTTGATGGCCCTGTGGAAAACAAGAAGCCGAGCAAGAAGGAAGTGGTAAATCTCCTCAAGGATGCCTGGAAGGAACGTCTTGCAGAGGAGCAGGTCAGCTCTCACTAGTTAGTTAGTCTGTGTGGCCTTCAGATTGAGTCCCCCAGGGAGTTGCCTAAAGGTGCTATGGAGTGGGGGGGGCAAGTAAGCCTGGGGGGCTGGCAAGTAAGCCTGGGGGAGGCTGACCAAGCATTCCCCTCACCTTACAGAAAGAGTTATTCGCAGATTTCTTCTTTAATTTCCTGGAGCGTCGCTTTGGGATCAGTGATGCCATGCCCTGGGCTTACACCATTTTTGAAAATATCAAGCTCTTCCGCTCCAATGAGATCATGAATCAGTTCTATGCAGTCTTGATGGGAAAGGTGAGCTTTGGCCAAGCCCCAACCTGTCCCCCTCAGTGAAACAGAAAGGGCTTTTGTCTCCAGCATAACACAGCTCTGCCCCCACCACCCTAGAAAACATGGTAGTAAATGCTTCTCTCTTTACAGATGACAGAGAGTGTATACATCAACCAAAAGGAGACACTAACCCATCTGTTGAAGGCGATGACAAATGCTGATAGTAAGAATGAAGGGTTAATAACCATGGAACAATTGAGGTAAGAGCCAGTCAGGCTACCCCAAACTCCAGCCTAACATCTTGGCTGGCCAAGTTCTCAGGTATATAGGAAAAAGGGGAGCCTTGCAGGATGAGCCAGACCTCAAAGTCTGCTGTCCTTACCAAGTGTAGTGGCATATACCTATAATGTCAGCACTTGAGAGGTAAAAGCAGGAAAGTCATTGAGTTCTAGGCCAGCCTAGCACAAAACCCTACCTTCAAACAATAAGGGCTGCTATGTAAACTGGTAAGGGAGAATATCAATCAACAGTCCAACCCCAGCTTCAAGGCCTAATAACTACATCAGTGACCATTACAGCAAATGAGATTGGTGCAGTAGAGGCACTTTTATCTTGGGAGTAATCAACAGCTACATAATTGGACTTAAAGCCCACTCAATGGGAGGAAACTCATGTGTGAGTGTACTGTGAACCTAGCCAAATACACAAGCTGGAGAGGACATGGATCTTAGAAAAAACCCCAAGGATGTCACATCCCTAGACAAATGTAACTTCTTACTATGTGCAAAATATGGATCCTTAAATTTAAAGACAAGTATCCCAGTCACTACCCATCAAAGAAGCTTCTTTTTTTGGGTCTTTTTGAGATAGGGTCTCCCTATAGCCCCAGCTGGCCTGGAACTCACAGAGATCTGCCTGCCTCTGCCTCCTGAATGCTGGGATTAAAAGCATGTGTGACCACACCTGGCTAGAAGCTTCTTTTTCAACAGACGGAGATTATTACAGAGTTCCACAAATGGTCATACACAGAGATTGTCTGTGAATCGCCCAAGGCTAAGTGGCACATCTAGGATGCAACCTCAACACCTAAGGCTGAGGGAACATAGAACAAGGGATAAAGAGAACACTAATGCATCATCTTTCAATTCTCATCAATGAAGCTCCCTCATACAACAGAGGGCCAGGAACACAAAAGACCACAAATGGCCAAAATGTAAAAAATAAGTCTACAGAGTGTGGGTCCTTGAACAGAACTTCTATATTAAAATCCATCCACCCAGGGCTCAGGGCTCATTGTGGAAGAGGGAGCAGAAAGATTGTAAGAGCCAGGAAGGGAGGAGGTATATGACCATATGGAAATAGAGTCCTACAGGCTCCTGGGACCCTTCCCATATAAACCTACAGCATTAGTATCAGCATGCACAAGACCCAGGCAAATTCAAGCAGACAACCCAGCACAGAACTGTGCAAATGGACAGCAGGCCCTAATCTTAGTTGAAGAATTATTGGCAGCTGATTACTGTAAGGTGAGGAAAAGCTGATCTTCTTAAAAGGAGAGATTCTAGATAGGCTAACCAGACCCAGTGGATAAACTTGCACTGAGGGACATCTGGGGACACTAACTTGACATGATATGTCTTAACACAAATGACAGAATGAGCTGGGCATGGTGGTGCAAGCCTTTAATTCCAGCACTCAGGAGGCAGAGGCAGGTGGATGTCTGTGAGTTCAAGGCCAGGCTGGGCCCCATAACAAGTTCCAGGCAAGCTGGGGCTACGGGAAACTGTGTCTCAAAAAGACCAAAAAAAAATTTTTTTTTTAAATCAAAGGCTAGCATGGTGGCACACACCTGTAATCCCAACACTTGGGAGGTTAAGGCAGGACAATCATCATGAGTTCAACTTTATAAGCCAACCTGGATTATATAGTAAGACCCTTTAATAAATAAATACCTCACTGTCCTGAACACTAGTGAGGATGGCCCAAGAGGGTTGGGAAGGTGGTGCACAGCCTCAGCCAGGCCCGTTGGCCTTCCTTCTTCTCCTACAGCACTATCCTCAAGAGCACCTTTCCTCTCAAGAGGGAAGACCAAATTGAGGAGCTGATGGAGGCAGGGGGCTGGGATCCTGACAGCAACAGTGTGGAAGTGCTCAACTACCACTTACTGTTTACTGAGGTGAGTGGAGCTCCAGTACTTGCCCAAGCCGTTCCCTAGCCTTGTTTAAACCCCAGGTAATATGGCCTCACTCTGCCCTTCCCCATATCCCACCCTCCAGGACGAGGAGGGCCAAAGTGAGCCCTTTGTGCAAAAGCTGTGGGAACAGTATGAGAGTGAAAAGGAAGCATACTTACAAGAGCTGAAGCAGGATCTGGGTGTGGATCTGTGAGTGACCCTGGGGCCCTCAGTCCCGTTCAGCCATTGGCAAGTCTCACAGGCACAGCAAGTCCCATAAGATAGCATCTCAGGCACTGAGTCTCCCTGTGTAATGCACATGCTGCTGGGTACTATAAACTACTCAATCATACAGAAAGGCAGGCACTTCAGAGTCTGGGGTCTAGAGAGGACCACTCAAGCCTGTAAACCTGTTTCTCTTTCACTGTGGGTCAGCAATGATGAGGTGACACTATTGAAGCTGCGTGGGGCCCTGATGAACATCGATCCCAGTCTGGACAAGCAGACTTTGAGTGCCTACCTGAGCCAGGCTTTTCAGCTCCCTGTGTCAGAACTGCCATTGGAGGATGACGCAAAACAGGAGGAAATTGTGATCAAGTTCCAGACTGCGCTTGACTGGCTTCAGATGGCAGATATCAAGCGTGTAGGACCTCGAGAGCTAGAACCAGCAAGCTAGAGCTCTGTGGGCAGCCTCAATACTCTAATGCTGTTAAATGAATTTTTAGTATAAAACTCTTTTTATTTGAACCCATACTATTTTCCAAGCTCTGCTGGGAAGTCAAGTGTGGGGGTGATGGGGAAGGTGGGTCTGGGCTGGCCCCAGGATATGCACCAAAAATCAGAACAATCCATGTGTGAGACTTTATTGATGCTAGGAGATGAGAAGACCTTGAAGATTATGTGGGGCCAAAGGACTCAAGGCAGGGACATGGCAAGTGTTTAGGCACAGGCACTACTGGGTAGGGAAGACAGAATTGCCAGTGAATGCACAGGGGATCAGCAGCTGCCGGTACTCCAAGGGCAGGTGCCGCTCCACAAGCACATGCAACGATATTTGGTCAGTGACTAGGCCCTGCCTGCATAAGAAGAAAAGAGGGTCAGCCAGACTCAGCACCAGCACTCATATACCCAGCTTCCCTATTCTGCCCACTCACCGTCGCATCAACAGTTCCAAGTCCTCTACCTTCACAGTCTTACGGCCAGCATGATCAGCAAACACCTCTAGGTCATTGCAAAGGTGCTGGAAATACTTGTCTAAGCTGCCAAGAAGGTTAGGGTAGAACAAACTAAACAGTCTGTTTATAACTTAACAGGCCCCCTCTACCCACTCAGATGTCTAAGACTTACCACTTCTCCACAATCTCAAGAGCTTTCTTTTCCATGGGCATCTTAGCATAGAAGCTAAAGAGTTTTGCATAGTAGCTCAGTCCAGCTTTGTAGGGATCTTGGTGGTGCCTAGGGCCTGCAGTTCGGGGCCTGGGGGGAAGCCTGACTGGCATAGACTCCAGAGGCTCTGAAGATAAGCTGAAGATAGGAATAGAGATGACTGAACTGCTACTTGGGGAAGCCCCTATTTAGGGACAAGTCCTGCTGGTTCCTGGGGAAACTAGGACTGTATGATCAAGGGACCACACAGAAGCCTGGTCTTCCCCTGGGACCCTAATCCTCCAGCCTGGATCCAACATCCTAGTCTATCCTCAACATATATGATAATATTTGCTCAAGCCTATAACCCTCAGGTCTTAGAATAGATAACCCCCTCCCCAACTCCCCCAAGAATCTATCACTGTTTGTCCCAAGCCTGCTATTTCCTCTAGGAAGCCTTCTATGACTATATACCGACCTAGGCACTTCCCCTCACCCAGGCACCTCTAAATCCCTGGAGGCAGGCATTAGGATGACAAATATACTATTAGGAAGCACCTCCCAGCCAAGCTGAGTTGCTGTGCTTGGCAATCACCTGCACATCTATGAGGAGTTAAATGTATATAATACCAACCTCAGAACATTCCCAGTTCCCAGGGTCATGGGTTCTTACACTGCAACACCAGGAGGTAGTGATGGTGGCTCAAGAAACTGATGTGGTTGCTTGGTCTTGAGTAAGTCAGGAGTGCTGGAGGCCAATTCAGGCCCTGCTGCAGAAAAAGAAAAAGAACAGGGTTACAGGGGGTTCAGGCTTGACTATCTCAAACAGCTATGCAGTTTTAGCCTCCTTAATTCTCAAGGACCTCACAAAGCTCTAGTCAAGCAAGTGCCCCTGAGAATATTTGTGGCCCAGTATCAACAGTTTCCAGACACAACCCAAGCAAGCTTCTTCTGTAGGCCAGGACATAAGCACAGCCATTAATTCTCACCTGTTGATCCCTGCACTAGCCCTCTTACCTGGCCTACCAGAAGTATCCTCATCCTCTGAAGATTCTTTTGACTTCCTGGCCTCCATAACCTCCTGGGATCCAACTGCTTCTGTCACCTCTGGAGGTTGAGGTTGTAGCTCCGAGCAGGGTAAAGATACAATAGAAAAGGCAGTACTGCTCAGTGAGGAAAAGACCAAGCCAGAGGCAGCATCAGGGCGATTTGGAATCTCCTGGCCTGATACTGATTCGCTCTTAGGTGGAGAAGGAACTCCTAGTCAGGGATCTCTGGGACACACATAGGGACTAGAGGAGGAAAATCTACCAATGCCACTCCCACCAAGGCTAAGCTTAGCTCAAGGCCAGCTGCCCCTCATACTCACTGTGGCTCTGCTGTCCAGGCCCAATGCTCTGTCTCCTGTGACTCACAGCTCTTTCAGTGTCTTCAATCCCAATGTGAGAGGGGTGGGGCAAGGAGTGATGCACACTGGGAGAGCAGCCAACCAAGGGCTGTGAGAAGGGCTGGGTATCCTCCAACACTATGTCTGCTGACAGAGTAACAACACGGGTTCTAAGGCTGTCTCCTGGAGATCAAGAGCCAGCTAACACTCAAGTGTATTCCAAGCCCATCTGCCGATGCCCAGAGCTTCCAGGGCCCAGACAATGGACCTCATGGGTCTCCTCTGCCTGAGTGGCCTCCAGAATGAGATGACCTACCTTCTAAGCCTTATCTCCTTTTTTTTTTTTTTTTTTTTTTTTTTTTTTTTTTTGTTCTTTTTGAGACAGGGTCTCCCGATAGCCCCAGCTGGCCTGGAACTCACTATGTAAATCAGGCTGGTCTTGAACTCACAACGAGCTGCCTGCGTCTGCCTCCCGAGTGCTGGGACTAAAGCTGTGCACCAACATATCCAGTGCCTTATCTCTCTCATAGCCCTCCTTCCTGCTCCTTGGTCTGACATTCCCAGGCCTCCACAGCGTGCTATACCTCTCCCCAAACTGTTTACCCATGTCTCAACTGTCTATTTCTCCCTCTAACCAGAACTTTCCTCAGACATTGGTGGACTTGTCTTCTGAAGTTAAGATCCCAAGTTAGCTCTAACTGACCATGAAACCTGGTCTTTTTTCAAGCTTCCAACAAACTCCAACCACCATACCACACCCCTTTCCTTCTAACTTCAGCCCTGTAGGTCAAAAATATAAAGTAATAGACAACACTAAGTCTTGACCTTGCCAAGGCTAGAAACTCCTCATAGACAACTGGCCAGGTTCATATTGTTTTGACCTCCCCAAAAGGGGGAGCAACCCTATGTCTGTCATAGAGTAGTAGCCTTCCCCAAAAGCTAGAAGTAAAAATCTCAGCCTTACCTGGAGGAGCTGAGGCCAAGGAATTATCTCGAAGACCCTGCAAAAGGGCACCTATATCGACGGCCCGGCGGGTGAGAGGTCTTCGAGCCAAACCAGGTCTCTTCACTGACTGTGGCTGAAGAGGTGTGGCAAAGGTCAGGCTGAGGGAGCTATTAAGAGGGAAGGAGACAGAAGGAAAGCCTGAGAGGTCCAGGTTCCCCCAAAGATTCTCCCATCTGCCCTGGAGCTCTCATTGTGTAGGATGTGGTCACCATCCCATGAGGCTAAAATCAGCAGGGAACAGTATGGCCAGATTCCATCAGTCAACACCTCCCTCAAGTCTCTGCTCCAACAAACCCCAGAACAGGGAAGGTTACCTAGTGAGGGATGAGACATCAGCATTCCCAGGTGGCTCTATCAGAGATCAAGAAAATACAAAAAGAGCAAGCCATGGTAAGTTATACAAGCCCAGGTTTCGAGGCTAAGGACAGTAACAGGTGTATTCTAGGCCTTACCTTGTGAGCGAGTCAACCCCTGGTTCACTTCTTGCTGAAATACTGACAACCTTAGCCTTTGCTTTCTTTTGCCAGGGGCCGGTAGACCTGGTGCCAGGGTTAAGGATGGCTCCAGTTCAGGAAGCTGCAGCTCCAGGCTATAAGGATGGAGTTTCTTAGACATGCCAGAAAGCACAATTTCAGCTTCTGGGGCCCCCTCAGCCTATGAGGGAAGTTCACTGAGTACCTGCCCTGACTGCTTTCCTGTCTAGAGGACTGGACCACTTTTGAGACTTCAACTGGCTTCATCACTGAGTCTGGCATCACAATAGAAGATTCAGGGGCTGTAGAAATATCGAGAGGGTAGGGCTCACAGAGAGGGATACATAGGCCTGGCACCTAATTTTGACAGGGCAGTGCCCACTTACCAGTTAGTAAGATATTCTTTAGCAGAGTTCGGGGTGTCTGTTCCTCCAGGTCCCCATTGGCTTGAACATGGGCCAGTCTAACAACTGACTGTGGATGAAAATATCACCAGTCTGTTCTTTTGCCTTTAGTTTCTCAAGTTAGGGCTCAGAGCAGAAATAAACCTCAGGGCTCCATGAAGGAAGCCAGGACCCTACAACAGTCAGTGGGCTGGACGCTTACCCTGGCACCATGGGAACGTCTTCTGGTAGTTGTCTTTGTTTGGCTACTCAACCTCTTGGAGGCCGGTGATTCAAGAAAGGTTCTCTGGGCTCTGAGAATTATATAGGGAGTTGGGGTCAGGGACTAGAAGATGCAGATACTGCTTTTTTTTTTCTTTAATATTTTATTATTTTTATTTTATGTGTATATTGCCTGCATGTAGGTAAGTGCATCCATGTCATGCAATGCCCACAGACAGAAGAGCCTGTCAGATCCCCTGAAACTGGAGTTACAGACAGTTCTTAGCTGCCATGTGGGTGCTGGGATTCGAACCCAGGTCTTCTGCAAGAACAGCCAGTGTTCTTAACCACTGAGCAATCTCTCCAGCCCGCAGATACTGCTTTTACCAGGGGTCTTGGCCTAAATAAAGTTCTTTTCCCTCAGGGACATAAACCTAGAAATTACATGTACTTTCCACAGCCCCTGTTCCCAACCTTGTCAACTAAGAGGTGGATGAATAGTCCTGAGATAGGAGAAAAAAGGGACTGTGATTGATCTACCAGAGAAAGAGGCTAAGGAAAGTTTCATAGAGGTGACTCTAGTAGATTAATAATAGGAGGCAGGAGTGGTGGTGTACACCTTTAATCCCAGCCCTCAGAGGCAGAGGCAGATGGATCTCTGTGAGTTTTAAGAAAGCCTGGTTTACAATAGTGAGTTCCAGGCCAGCTGGCGCTACAGGGAGACCCTGTTTCAAAAAGACCAAAAAGAGAAAAAAGAAAAAAGCATTATCCTTTGCTTCTAGAGATCTAGGACTGGGGCCCTGTGGTCTCCGGGGCTGACACCTTGGAGCACAAAGTCTGTGAGTCCGATTCAGAAAGCAGAGTCAGAACTCCCGGCCTCAGGCTTGCTCGTCGTAGACTATTTTTCTCTCTAAGCAGGGTGGACCCTGAACCCACTCCCCAGTCATTCCAGCTGCTCAGGCAACACCCTGACATACAGAGTCCGTCTACTCCGGCGTCGCCGCGGGGTGCGCAAGTCCGCTGTATCCAGCACGCGCTGCAAGAGCGTGCGCGTCGTAGGCTCGCTGTCTGGACGGTAGCGATCCGCCATGATTCCAGCCCCCACCCCTCTAACTGCTCCAACTGTTCCTAACGCTGGGTTCCCGCCGCCGCATTCGAGTCAATTCTCGCGATGCTGACGCACGGCCCCGCGGGAACTGTAGTTCGTTTTCACCCTACCGCTGTGGGCTGGGAGCGAGGTGATTGCAAACAGGTTTTGAGGCAGTCATACATTATTAAACCTGGACAAATGTATGCAGCCAGTCCAAACCTCGTGCCTCGTGGTTTCTTCATGACTAAGTTAAAAATAGATGAAGATGATTTTGAACTTCTGATCCTTCTGCTTCCAACTCCAGAGTGCTGAGATTATAGCTCTGTGAAATCACACACCATTTACGTATGCTACAGATCAAGCCCAGGGCTTCCTTCCGGCCCTTGTCCAGTTAGATATGATCTCTGATCTCTGTTGTCTAAATTTGCTATTGCTTTGCAGAGAAATTTCCATGGTCACTCTTAACCACCTAAATCTATAGGTTTTTTAAAAAATTTTATTATTTTTATTTTATGTGTATGAATGTATTGCCTGCCTGTATGTGAGTCGTACAATGCCGTAGGGGGTCAGAAGAGATCTTCGGATTCCCCTGGAACTGAAGGGCAGTTCGTAGCTGCCATGTGGGTGCTGGGAATCAAACCTGGTCCTCTGCAAGAGCAGTCAGTGCTCTTAACCGCTGAGCCACCTCTCCAGTCCCTGGTTTATTTTTTTGGTCTTTTTGAGACAGGGTTTCCCTGTAGCCCCAGCTGTCCTGGAACTCACCATGTGGACCAGGCTGGCCTCGCACTCACAGAGATCCTCCTGCTTCTGCCTCCCGAGTGCTGGGACTAAAGGCGTGTGCCACCACGCTCGACTTTTTTTTTTTTTTTTTTTTTTTTTTAAGATTTATTTGGGGGCTGGAGAGATGGTTCAGTGGTTAAGAACACTAGTTGTTTTTGCAGAAGACCCAGGTTCAAATCCCAGCACCCACATGGCCTCTAACAACCATCTGTAAATCCAGTTCCAGAGAATCTAATGTCCTTTTCTGTCCTCTGCAGGCACTGCATGACACGGTGCACCTACCTACATGCTAGCAATACACTCTCATACACATAAAAAATAAAAACAAGAGCCAGGGATGGTGGCACACGTTTTTAATCCCAGCACTTGGGTGAGTTCGAGGCCATCCTGGTCTACATAAGTGAGTTCCAGGCCAGCTAGGGCTACTGGGAGACCCTGTCTCAAAAAAGACCAAAAAAAAAAAAAAAAAAAAAAAACGACCAAAAATAATAAACAAATTCAAATAAATAAATAAATATATTCATTTTATTTTTGGCCTAGCATAGTGGCACATGTCTTTAAGCCTAACACTGGGTAGGCAGAGGCAGAAACAAGTGAAACTCAGTGAGTTTAAGGCCAGCCTGGGCTACATATCAAGTTCCAGGCCAGCCAGGGCTACACATTAAGAGCTGACTCAATGTTTTATTTTTTTTTGGGGGGGGTCTTTTTGAGACAGGGTCTCCCTATGGCAGCAGCTAGCCTGGAACTTGATATGTAGACCAGGATGGCCTTGATCTCACAGAGATCCACCTGCCTCTGGCTCCCGAGTGCTGGGATTAAAGGCATGTACCACCATGCCCAGCAAAAACAAAACAAATTTATTTTATTTTAAAATATATGTATTTACCTAATGTTGGTATGTGCACATAAGTGCAGGTGCCCTTGGAGGCCAGAAGAGACTTTCAAATCCTCCTGGAACTGGAGTTACTGGCAGTTGAGAACCACTTGAAGTGGATGCTAGGAATCTAACTCAGATTAAGCTATCTCTTCAGCCCCTAAATCTAGTTCTTAAAAATTAATTATATTTGGGGGCTGGAGAGATGGTGCAGCAGTTAAGAGCACTGGCTGTTCTTGCAGAAGATCCGGGTTCAAATCCCAACACCCACATGGCAGCTGACAACTGTCTGTAATGCCAGTTCCAGGAGATCCGACACCCTCGTCTGTCCTCAGGCATTGCACGACTCAGTGCACTCACATGCAGGCAATACACTCATACACAAAAAATAAAAATATATGTATAGCCGGGCATGGTGGTACATGCCTGTAGTCCCAGCACCTGGAAGGCAGAGGCAGGCGGATCTCTGTGAGTTCAAGGCCAGCCTGGTCTACGTAGTGAATTCCAGGATAGCTGGGGCTTACAAGGAGACACTGCTTCAAAAAGACAACAACAACAACAAAAAATATATATGTATAAAATGTAAAAATTAAAGCTGGATGTAGTGTTGCACACCTATAATCCCAGCACTCAGGAGGCAGGTGGAGCTCTGTGAGTTCGAGGTTAGCCTGGTCTCCATAGTGAATTCAGGTCAGCTGTGGCTACAGAGAGACACTGTCTCAAAAAGACAAAAAAGAAATCTATATAATATATATGTATACATTAATATTTGCCGGGCATGGCTGCACATTTTTTTAATCCCAGCACTCAGGAGGCAGAGGCAGGCAGATCTCTCAGTTCAAATATAGCCCAGTCAAGGCTAGGATAGTGAGTCCCAATCTCAGAAGAAAAAAAAATTATCAGAGGAGATGGCTTAGTGGGTGAAAGCACTTGCTCTGCAAGCATGAGGACCCGAGTTCAAATTCCATCACCTATGTAAAAAGCCAGCATGGCTGCAGCTGGAGAACTCACTGTCCAGCTGGCCTAATTGAAATGGCAAGCATCAGGTTCAATGAGAGACCCTGACTCAAGGCAGTAAGACAGCGCAAAGAAGAAGATATCTGATGTCCTGCTCAGGCCTCCAGAAGTGTATGCACAGAACATTTGAAATATAAACTTAAGGGCTGGAAAGATGGCTCAGTGATTAAGAGCACTGGCTGCTCTTGCAGAGGACCCAGGTTTGAATCCTAGCACATACATAGCAGCTAACAACCATTCATAACTCCAGTTCCAGGGGATCCGATGCCCTCTTCTGGTCTTCGAAGGCATTGCACAACACAGATGCACTCACATGCAGGCAATACACTCATATACATAAAATAAAAATAATAAATATTTTAAAAGAAATAGAATCTTAAGCCTTTTCACAGTGTTTTTTTGGTTTTTTTTTTTTTTTGTTTTTTTGTTTTTGTTCTTGTTTTTTGAGACAGGGTCTCCTTGTAACCCCAGCTGTCCTGGAACTCACTATGTAGACCAGGCTGGCCTTGAACTCACAGAGATCTGCCTGCCTCTGCCTCCCTGGTTGCAACCCTGGTTGCAACCATGAGCTAAATAAACTTCTGTTCTTTATTTAAAAAAAAAAAAGAAAAGAAAAAAGAAAAAAACAACAAAGTAACAAATGGGCCAGTGAGATGGCTCAGCAGATAAATATGCTTGCTGCCAAATCTGAGGACCTGACCATCCTACTAGGAGGCCTCTGACCTCCACATGTGCACTCATGTGCATAACACACACACACACACACATACACAATTAATATAGGTGCTGGGCATCGTAGTGCATATATTTTAATCCCAGCACTAGTGAGGTCTCTGTGAGTTCAAAGCCACCCGAGCTACGTAGTGAGAGCTTGTCTCAAAAAAAAAAGGAAATAATATATATTAAGCTTCTGTATCATGTTTGTGATATTTGTGATGTTATCAAAGGAGAAAACATAAGAAAAAGCTAGAAGAAAGCATGAAAGGCAAGAAGAAGTGGAAGAAATGGGGTACTCAGCAAAGGAAGAATAGCTTGTAGATAACTTCCTTAATCAACTGCTTGACTCCTCCCTGGCTTTCCACATAGATAACTTCCTTAATCAATTGCTTGACCCTCCCTGGCTTTCTGTCTCAGTTGCAGATGACTTTGGGTTTTAATTTATTAATTTTTATTTTTATTTTGTGTGTATGAGTGTTTTTCCTGCACACATATAAGTGCACCCATGTCATCCAATGCCCACAGCGGTCAGAAGAAGGCATTGGACTTCTTGGATCTGTTATGGACAATTGTTAGGCACCATGTAGGTGCTGGGAATCAACCCAGGGTCCTCTCCAAGAGCAGCCAGTGCTCTTAACTGCTGATCCATCTCTCCAGCCCCATTTTGTTTTTGTTCTTGTTTCTGGGGATTAAACGCATAGCCTCCTTCTCACTAGGCAAGTGCTTACCACTGAACGATATCCTAGCCTGGTTCATATTTATTTCCCAAGAGGGCCTCACTAAATCACCCAGACTGATCTGAACTCACTTTGTAGCCTGGGCTGTCCTTGAATTTACTTCAACCTCCCAAATAACTGGGATTAGATGTCTGAAACCCCAAGCCTGTCCTGCCTCCAAACGTGGTGAAGGAGGAGGAGGGAGGAGAAGAGGGACTGGCATCTTGCTATAATGCAAATCTTTTTTTGTTTTTAAGTATTTTATTTTTATGTATATGAGTGTATTGCCTGCATGTATGTGAGTGCACCCGTGTCGTGGGGAGGTCAGAAGAAGCATTCGGATTCCCCTGGAAATGGAATTAAGGATGGTTCATAGCCTCCATGTGGGTGCTGGGAATCGAACCCCGGCCCTCAGCAAAAGCAATCAGTGTTCTTAACCACTGAGCCATCTCTCCAGCCCCCTATAATGCAAATCTTTTTGTTTAAAGCTCCTCAACTTTCCAGTTGCCTGAATAAAAAAAAAATTCCAAATTCTCTGTCATGGTCCAGTTTGTAATTTTTCAGTGTTTCTACTACCCCAGCTGTCCCCTGCAGGCACTTTAATGGCAGGCTTAGTTCTTTTCCTGCTTCAGGGGCCTTACAGTTCCCAAGGTGGGGGGGTGGGAGACCAAGAACTGCTACAACTCCCTTCCAAGGTTCTAATTGGTCTATTTTCCCAAGCCGCCATTCCCCTTTGTTTTCTGTCCTGTTCATTTCTTTGGAGCATTATTCCTGACTAGACGTTTATTTGTGTGTACTCACAGCTATTCATTTACTATAATAAGACAGACCCTCATCCTGCTAGTTTAGTCTCCAGGAGGCAGGGTGATGGGAGAATCTGACTCCTCTCAACTCCCCTACACTGTGTTCTCCCTACACTGTCTGGCACATAGTAGGCACACGTGTTAGTGATCTACTTTAGGTTAGTGAGTTAAAGTAAGCAGTAGCTGAGTCGGAACAATACCCCAATAGGAGAAAGTGCTTCTAGAGGCCCTTCCGGGTTGGTTGACTCAGATTTCCTCCCCCCTAAGGAATGCCGTCGACTTCAAGACATTGGGGCTTGGGGGACTTCTAGCCGGTGGCTGAACCTTGCTCAAAACCCAGCCTGTAGGAGCCCCACCTCTCCCCTAGGCGGCGCTTTAGGTCGTAATCTTAGAGTACTTCTGAGGCATCACGGAACTTGTAGTCTCTGCGTGCTTACATCCAGCGCGTTTGCGCTCTCTGGAGGCGTGCGCCCTCTACCATCAGGATTCCGGGTCCTTGTGAGGCGTTCCATTCGAATACACTTTTCTCGTCCACCAAGGACAAGCTGCATCGGGAAAATAATCTGCTCTTAGGGTGATGTCGCGGTGGCCTGGAAAGCTGCCGGAATAAGCACGCCCCCCCGCCCCGGAAGTGAGCGGCTTCTGGCGCTGTGCATTGTGGGGGGCGTAGTCTTCTTTTCCAGGCGGTCCTTCGCGGCGTCCCCGGGGCCGACTCCGGAGCGCAGGCGGGCGGCCGGGTGGGTAGCGCGGCACGGGCGGTCGGCAAGAATATTCTGGGCACCGTGCTCCAGTCCAGGAGCACTACGCCGAGCGGCAACAGTGAGAAGCCGCTAAGGGCCTCGCGCGGCGCCTCCCGTCGAGGAGCTGGAGTTAGGGGCCAGACCCGACCGTCGAAGAGCGCCAGAGGCTGGTGGGCCGGGCCGGGCCGCGCGTCGCAGCCATGCCTGGTTTTACGTGCTGCGTACCGGGCTGCTACAACAACTCTCATCGGGACAAGGCGCTGCACTTCTACACGTTCCCCAAGGACGCTGAGCTGCGGCGTCTCTGGCTCAAGAACGTGTCCCGTGCTGGCGTCAGTGGGTGCTTTTCCACCTTCCAGCCCACCACGGGCCACCGTCTCTGCAGCGTTCACTTCCAGGGCGGCCGCAAGACCTATACGGTGCGCGTTCCCACCATTTTCCCGTTGCGCGGCGTCAATGAGCGCAAAGTAGCGCGCAGACCCGCGGGGGCTGCCGCAGCCCGCCGTAGACAACAGCAGCAGCAACAGCAGCAGCAGCAGCAGCAACAACAACAATCGTCGCCGTCCACCTCTACTGCCCAGACTACCCAGTTGCAGCCGAACCTGGTGTCTGCCTCTGCGGCTGTGCTTCTTACCCTTCAGGCCGCTGTAGACAGCAGCCAAGCTCCGGGATCCGTGCCTCCGGCACCCACCACTCCCGCAGGAGATGATGTGAAGCCTATTGACCTTACAGTGCAAGTAGAGTTCGCAGCCGCAGAGGGCGCAGCCGCTGCCGCCGCCGCGTCAGAGCTAGAGGCTGCTACAGCGGGGCTGGAGGCCGCTGAGTGCGCTCTGGGCCCTCAGTTGGTGGTAGTAGGGGAAGAGGGCTTCCCTGATACTGGCTCCGACCACTCGTACTCATTGTCGTCAGGCACCACGGAGGAGGAGCTTCTCCGCAAGCTGAATGAGCAGCGGGACATCCTAGCCCTGATGGAAGTGAAGATGAAAGAGATGAAGGGTAGCATCCGCCATCTGCGTCTTACCGAAGCCAAGCTGCGCGAAGAACTTCGTGAGAAGGATCGCCTGCTTGCCATGGCTGTCATCCGTAAGAAGCACGGAATGTGAGTGGGTGCCCCAAGCAGAACTCGTGACTCCTAGCCCAAGGAATCCTCTGGCGGATGTTGAACTTCCCAATATTCTGGTTGACAGTGCTGAGGCTTAGGGCAACTGGACTCTCTTGCTGGTAATCTGGCATCTTCGTTTGTTTCGTCCTGAAGTAGGAGTTGGCCTCAGACTCAGTCTGGTGACACGAGCAATTATGACTTTGTCTGCTCTCCTTCCCCAGTTTATGTTGCAGATTCTGGTTAAACAAAAACTTCAGAACCTCTGTACTTGAAACATCCTGGAGGGATGCAGGTGGGATTCCTAGGGACTGTGGGTTTGGGAAAACCACACCTTAAGGTTGGCCAGCAATCAGAGACTTTGCTGTGTGTAGTGATAAAAAAAGAGATCTAAGTAACATCAGTTCTCCTTTCATGCATACCTTTTTCAGGCACAGCCTGTGATTCTGATGGGGACTAGTTGATCTGTGCCTCTGCCTCCCTAGGACCTCCCTACCCAGAAGGTCATTTATGAGACGGCTCTGGGTGACCTGCTGATGGAGATCCAGCATACCAGGGACTTAGGTTTATCTCGTTATGTTTGCTACTGGTTACAAATTCTATTTTCTGTACAATTAGACTAAAGTTTTCACTGTGTTTGTTTGGCAAAACAAATTAAACGAAAAAAAATAAGGTTTTTATTTGGGTTTCGCCATTTTATTTTTTATGAGTGTATTGCCTGTATGTATGTGAGTGCACCCGTGTTGTGCAGTGCCACGGAGGTCAGAAGAGGGCTTTGGATTCCCCTGGAACTGGAGTTAAGGATGGTTCGTAGCCACCATGTGGGTGCTGGGAATTGAACCCGGGTCCTCTGCAAGAGCAGTCAGTGCTCTTAACTGCCAAGCCATCTCTCCAGCCATAAGGTTTCTCTTTAAAAAAAACATAAACTAGCTGGACGTGGTGGTGCACGCCTTTAATCCCAGCACTTGGGAGGCAGAGGCAGACGGATCTTTGTGAGTTCTAGGCCAGCCTGGTCTACATAGTGAGTTCCAGGACAGGATACAAGGAGACCCTGTCTCAAGACAAAACAAAACAAAACCCATAAATTGATAGACCCCTAGCTTCATAAGGGCCCTTGCCCAAATCACTCCAGAGTTTGGAAGCTGCACCAAATGGTATCGATTTGTCTATGGAGTTTTCTCCCTGGATCTTTGTGTGGTATGGGTGCACATTTGTATGTGAACATGCATGTAGAGGCCAGGGGACATTTGGTGTTGCTCCTCAGGTGAGAGTAATCTTTTTTTTGCCTTTTGAGACAGGTCTTCTCATTGAACTGGAACTCACCAAATAGGGTCAGCAAGCCAGCTAGTGAGCCCCAGAGATGTCTCTGCCTCCCTAGTGCTAGGGTTACAAGTTTGTACCAAACCTGTCTTTTGTATTACATAGATTCTGGGGATGGAACTCAGGTTTACCAACTGAGCTGTCTCCCCAATCCTTCCCTGGATCTTTTTATTGGGGGGGGGGTCTTTTTGAGACAGGATGTCCCTATAGCCCCAGCTGGCCTGGAACTCACTATGTAGACCAGGCTGGTCTTGAACTCACAGACATCCACCTGCCTCTGCCTCCCGAATGCTGGGATTAATGGCCTGTACCACCATGCCAGGCCTGGATCTTTTTCTAATGAGGAAGTGTAACTGAAAGCTAAGCTGAATTGTTTTGTTCCTCCTGCTTCTGATAGTTTTAAATTCCTTATTGAACTCTCAGCTGGAGTTTAAGTTTGTTCATCATTTCACCCCTTGGGATAAGTACAGTGTCTGGTACACATGTGAATACAGTTACTTAATAAGCCAGTGAAGTCCCGAGCTGGAAGTAGCCATCATTGTTTCTTTAGACACATCTTCTAAAGATGTGTCTAAAGGAACTGAGATTTCTGACATCTAGATTTGTGGTTTTGGCTGCCTCTAACTTTAGATTGGATATGGGAGAAGTGAGGTGGCATTTTTATCAACAATCCTGAGTAATTTAGCTCAAAGCTAAGGGGGAAGATATGCCTTTAAAAATATTTTTATTATTTGTGTGTGTGCAGGTGCCCCAAGAAGCATCAGATCCCCTGGAGCTGGAGTTACAGGCAGTTGTGTCAACCAACATGGGTGCTTGGGAACTAAACTTGGGTTTTCTGCACGAGTAGTATATGCCCTTAATCACTGAGCCATCTCTTCAGCCCTGTAAATGCCTTTTAAAACTACCCCTGCTTCTATGACTGCTGGGTCACAAATTTACTCAGACTCATTTCTGTGTTACTTATGGATGAGGTCACCTGCCTAGGTATTTGCTCTGTGACTGCAAAGTGAAGTGCCCCTAAAACTCTAGTTTCTACTTCCATTCTGGTCCTCTGGTTCTGTGTTGGGAAGTAAGTCTTAAGTGAGGAAAGAAGCTGCAGCTTTGGTTGTATAGCTAGCTACCCAGTTTGGGGAGCAATTGGATCTCTGCCTTTGTAGGGATAACTCTGGCATGCAGTGAGGTGATGAAAGCACAGTAGCGCATTTCCAGGCTAACTGCCAGTCTCTCACACGTCAATATTCTTTTCTTGGAGTGGGGGCTTTCCCAGGCCTTGGCCATACTCAGTATATCCTTGAACTCTTGTTCTTTGGAAGACTACTGCTCTTTGTGCCCTGGTTCTCCTGAACATCTCAGCATCTGGAGGGCATGTGCACATAACTTGCCTTATGTTTTGTTTTCAGGGTGGTGGTGTCCAAAAAGCCCCAGAAATATCATTAACAGAGCAAGGCAGAGGTCTCAGAGGCTGAGTAATAAAAGCATCATCTAGCAGCGGGTGGTGGTGTACTCAGGAGGCAGAGGCAGGTGCTCTCTATGAGAGCCATGCCAGTCTATTCTACATAGTGAGTTCCTAGGCTAGCTGGGGCTACAGGAAGACCTTGTCTCAACATACACAAACCACAAAAATATTAAAACAGCTTCTAGCCAGGAAAAGTGATCTGGACTGACAGGAGATTTAATTTAGCCTAGTTTTACCGTCATTCTCCAGGAGGTGAGGTGAGGGTGGCTAAAAGTGCAAAACTCCAATGGAAGACCTGGAGCACTCAGATTTCTGTGGCTACAAGGGAAGACTTAAGCTATCTGAAGCCATTTTCCTTTCCTGTGGTCCTTTAAGTTGGCTGCAGAGCCCTTTGCTCAGCACAGGCCTGACTTGGAGAGAAGCTTGCCTTCATGTTTGTCTTATCAAGTAAACCGTGAAAAAGATGTTGAAAGTAAAAGGGGAAGGAGTGGAAAGAGGATTATTTACAATCTGGTCACTTAACGGGAAACTTTGGTTGAGCCAGTTATTTTTCTTTGAATAAAAATTAAACTTTGGTGATGAGATGGCTCAGTGGATAAAAGCGCTTGCCTCCAGGCCTGACAACTTGAGTTGGAGCTCCAGGACCCACCTGGTGGTAGGAGAGTACCGACTCCTCCGGAAAGTTAATTCTGGCTTCCACATACATGGCATGGCACCTGCGACCTCCACACAAACACCAAAATAAATTAAATGTAAAACACCAAAAAAACCCTCATCGTTGCCCCATTCGCTGCAGCAAAAAGAAAAACCAGAAGTCAAAAACAAAACAAAACAAAACAAAAAACCCCAAAAAAACCAAACCCAAAAAACCTTAAGATCCCAATGACAGAGTAACTTCTCCAACGTTTGAACCTCGGGCCCAAGAAAAGCCTAACTCAACTTGAAACCAGCTCTGGGGGCTGCTAGCTCTGAAACAGCTCGCTCAAGCAGTGTTCGGAGAGCGGAAGTGGTGGGTTCCGCCCTGGATGGCCAAGGCTACACCACACTGGTAGCCAGAGCGCCAAAGGGGAGAGGGCTTCGGAAGCAGAGACAGGGCTTGGGGCCCAGGGAGCGGCGGCTGGGGTAGCAGGGCTAGCTCCAGGCTAGGCCAGGCTCCCACGGAGGCGGGGTCAGCCACCCTCGACGAACAGCCTAGGCGGAGCCAGGCCAGCTCGGACCAGGCGACAACAGAGACCTGATCTTTGCCTGGCGCCATCTCAATGTTCCAGAGGCTTCCGCTAGACCACAATTCTCAGGGGCTCGCCCCGGCAACCTCCCTCCCTGACTTAGCCTCTCCTCCCGCGCAGCGAGCCTTGTCTGGGCTTCCGTGCGTGGCACACTGGGAACTGTAGTTTTATCGTGGTTCATTAGTGCAAGAAAGGAGAGTGGTGGGACTGCGTTTCCCAGAGTGCAGCGGGGCGGGCGAGGGAGGGCAGGGGGGAAGGGACAGTTGGTCGCAGACCGCGCTGGGTTGCCGCCGCTGCTGCCGCCATCGTGCCAGCCCCACGGGTGAGTGTTGGGGCCAGCGTGCCCGGGGCGGGGGCTGGGCCGCAGAAGCCGCGCTCTGAGCCGCCCGGAGCTTCTGTTGCGAGTCCCCGGGAGGCCCCTCCCCTCTCTACCCTACCGCCCCCCCCCCCCGCGGCCCTAAGCGGCGCGGAGCCCGCGCCATGTGTCGCGCGCGGCTCCGCCTCCCGCGGATCCTCTGTGTCCGTGGCCCGGGGAAGGCCGAGAACCAGACGCCTGTCCAGGCCTTACTGTGATCTGGCCGGTGCGCGGAACTGGGTTGTGATCTTTTTCTCTGGTGGGGAAGACCTGGATAGGGCTCTCAAGGCCCCGCCCCGTCCGCCTGACTAGTTCGAATCCTGCGGGTTCTGCAGGCAGGTTTCGGGCAGACCCCAGACTCACGTCTCGCCACCAGCCGGCGAAGATCCGGGGATGGGCAACGCCACCCAGCTCGCTCCAGAGCCAGCATGGGTAAGGGTGCCCGCTTGCCGCAGCTGGGGCTTGAGACCTTAACTGGGTTCCAGACCGTAGCCCGGCTAGGATGTAGATGAACGCTTCTCTGATTGCCTGATGGGAGTGCACGAAACCTACTTCTCCCGCCGTGGATCCTGTGCTGGATTATCCAGCATGGAGAACAAGGCACGGAGTCCCGGGCGGGAGGGGATTCCACGTGGAACTTCACCCGACTAGTTTTAGAAGATCTGGACTTGATGGCCTAGAGGCAACTCTAGAGATAGGCCTCCTCCCTTTATTAGTGACTAGGCCCCAGCTATGGGTGGGTTTGCCTGACTTTGTTATAATGGTGGAAGGAAGCCAACGAAGTAAAGCTGGGATATGTGAGCCTCTAAGGTTTTTTTTGTTAGATCTCTCAGGCATGGCCCAATTCTGAAATACATCAGAACCTTCCAGAGTCAGCATAAAATAGGCTATCAAGCAAGGATGACTCCTTAAGAATGGAATGATGAGGTAGGATTTAATGCATGGACTTGAGGTTCTTGAGTTCATTTTTTTTTTTTCCTTTTGGTCCTTTTTTTCCCGCCGTGGATCCTGTGCTGGATTATCCAGCATGGAGAACAAGGCACGGAGTCCCGGGCGGGAGGGGATTCCACGTGGAACTTCACCCGACTAGTTTTAGAAGATCTGGACTTGATGGCCTAGAGGCAACTCTAGAGATAGGCCTCCTCCCTTTATTAGTGACTAGGCCCCAGCTATGGGTGGGTTTGCCTGACTTTGTTATAATGGTGGAAGGAAGCCAACGAAGTAAAGCTGGGATATGTGAGCCTCTAAGGTTTTTTTTGTTAGATCTCTCAGGCATGGCCCAATTCTGAAATACATCAGAACCTTCCAGAGTCAGCATAAAATAGGCTATCAAGCAAGGATGACTCCTTAAGAATGGAATGATGAGGTAGGATTTAATGCATGGACTTGAGGTTCTTGAGTTCATTTTTTTTTTTTTCCTTTTGGTCCTTTTTTTGAGACAGGTTCTCCCTGTAGCCCCAGCTGTCCTGGAACTCACTGTGTAGACCAGGCTGGTCTCGAACTGACAAAGATCTGCCTGCCTCTGCCTCTCAAGTGCTGGGGTTAAAGGCATGCGCCACCACGCCCAGCTTAAATTCAGTTCTTGACTAGAGGTGGATGTGGAAGGAACCCTGGGGATAGAACTCTGATAGACTAGGTTGGCCTTTTGAAGCCAAGTGGCAGCGCTGGAAGCTGCAGAAAGTCTGGTTTCTTTTTCACTGTGTTGGAGTTCCCTGTTGGTGTTGGGTTTTGAGATACTGCTCTTAATAATGGCCCCATAGATCCCACTGGGTTCCTGGATGAGGGGTGAATCTAAGCAGAGCTACTATTAGAGAGGCTTTGAAAGGCACTTCTGTTTGAGTGATGATTTAATTAAAGGATTAGTTTAGAGAAGTCCTTGGGACTTGATGGAAAACATCTCTTGTTAAACCTTGATTTCTCTCACCCGTTATGGCTTCTGTGCCACAGTTCTTTCAAGGACTGAGAACCAGTTCAATCCTACAGACGTGGCAGCCTCAGTAATAAGCAGATTGCCAAGTCTCTCAGAATGACTGAATTTGAACCTTAATGCAGAAAGCCACTGTCCCTAGTTCTCCCCACACACACCTTGAATAATCTCACACTTTTTCCAGTCATTGTGTTCTTTATTTGGAAGCATTCCTACCGTCCAGTTCTCTGCCTAGTCATTCTGCCTGGTCAAAGACAACAGGTAAAGCCTCTTCAGATATCAGCAGGGCTTAATTGGTAGATTTAGTTTTCAATCCCTAGCACTGAATAAATTGGGCTTGGTAGCACACATTTGTAATCCCAGTTTCTGAAATACTGTACTCTGAAGGGAAAAGCATGAAGCTCAGAAGTTACATCCTCAGCTATATAGCAAACTCAAGGCCAGCCTGGGATATATGGGACTCTGTCTCAAAAAAAAAACCAGCCAGGGGTGGTGGCGCACGCCTGTAGTCCCAGAACTTGGAGGCAGAGGCAAGCAGATCTCTGTGAGTTCAAGGCCAGCCTGGTCTACATAGTTCAGGACAGCTAGGGGCTACAGGGAGACCCTGCTTCAAAAAGACAAACAAAACAGACTCTTCAGCTTGTCTGGATTTGTACTTCCTAGGACACAGGTTTCAGATGAGCTAGATTTATGGCCTGTGGATTAGTTTGCACATTCTAAGCTTCTGTGTGATTTGCCATAGGACTTACTTCTTTTTGTTTTTGCAGTACCGGGGATCAAACCCTGGACTGAGCTTCTTCAGAATCTGTGCCCTAAGTCATGTAGGGTTGATTTGAGGAGTGAGGCCTGACAGTTGGGATATAACTATACAAGCAAGAAGCAGAGTGTCAGAATTCCCATTTTGTCTTTGTTTAATTCTGCTAAAAAGAAAAGGGTTTTTATTTGGTTGGTTTCTTTGAGACAGGGTCCCTGTAGCCGTAGCTGGCCTGGAACTTACTATGTAGACCACGCTAATCTTGAACTCAGAGAGATTTGCCTGCCTCTGGAGTGCTGGAATTAAAGGCCTGTGCCACCATGTCCAGCCCATTTTACTTTTTTTTTCTTTCGTTTTATGTGTGTGGATGTGTGTGGGCATGTGTGCCATAGCACTTGTATGGAGATCAGAGGGCAACTTATAGGAGTCAGTTCTCTCCATCATGTGGGTCCTGTGTATGGGACTCAGGGCATTAAGCTGGGCAGCAGGTGCCTTTACCTGTTGAGCCATTATGACAGGCCTCCCCCCCCATTTTTTAATTGTGCAAGTGTTTTGATTGCCAATATGTTTATTGATGTGTACTGCCCTCGAAAGTTAAAAGAGGGTGACAGAGCCAGAACTGCCACATGTGTTCTGGGACTTGAACCCAGGTCCTCTGGAAGAACAGCAGGTTACTCTTAACCCCTGAGCTATCTCTCCAGGCCCCAAATATTTTTGACACAATATTACTATGTAGTCCAGAGTGGCCCTGAACTTTCTATGTAGCCCAGGCTGGCCTTGAACTTACAATCCTCCTGCCTTAGCCTCCCGGAGTGCTAGATTACTGGTGTTCACCACCAGGCTTGACTTTTCAACTCAAGATTTGGCCCCTTAGTAACTAGGATCCCACTTCTCTCTGAGCCATGTTTTGCTTTATTCTGCTGCCTCTACAATTCATGCATTAAGATGGTATGAATGATTAAGAAAGATACAGAATTCTCAAATTTTAAAACCAGAAGGTACCTTTTATGAGAAATTTCAGCATGACCAGGTGTGATGGCACGCACATGCCTTTAATCTTAGGACTCAGGAGGCAGAGGCAGGCAGATCTCTGAAACTTGAGGCCAGCCTGGTTTACATAGCAATTTCCAGGCCAGCTGGGGCTAAAGGGAGAACCTGTCTCAAAAAAAAAAAAAAAAAGAAAAAATTTTTTTCAGCATGTTGACATGTGCCTATAATTGAGAGCCTTAGGCCATGAGTCAGTTGGGCATGGAGGCACCCACCTTTAATTTCAGCACTCAGGAGGCAAAGGCAGGTCGATGGATCTCTGTGAGATCAAGGCCAGCTAGATCTACATAGGAATTTCCATGCCAGCTGCAGTTAGTGGGCAAAGGCAGGTCGATGGATCTCTGTGAGATCAAGGCCAGCTAGATCTACATAGGAATTTCCATGCCAGCTGCAGTTAGTGGGAGACCCTGTCTCAAACAAAAATACCTTCAGGGGGCTGGAGAGATGGCTCAACTGTTAAGAGCACTGACTACTCTTGTAGAGCACCTGGGTTCAATTCCCAGCACCCACATGGCTGCTAATAACCAACCTTAACTCCGGTTCCAGGGGCTCCAACACCCTCTTCTGACCTCCATGGGCACTGCACAACAGGGGTGTACTTACACACAGGCAGGCAATACACTCATACACATTAAAAAAAAAACAAAAACAAAAACATCTGGGTGTGGTGGCACACACCTTTAATCCCAGCACTCAGGAGGCAGAGGCAAGTGGATCTCTGAGTTCAAGGCCAGCCTGGTCTACATAGTGAGTTCCAGGACAGCTGGGGCTACAGGGACACCCTGTTTCAAAAAGACCAAAAAAACCCAAAACAAAAAAACAACTTTCAGAGCTAGAGGGATGGCCAGGTGGGTAAGAATGTGAAGATCTAAGTTCAAATCCTCAGCACCCATGTTAAGCAAGGAGGCTTGCTAGCTGCTGGCCTAGCTCCAGATTCAATGAGATAACTCTGTCTTGAATAAGTCCAAGAGATAGAGGTGGATACTTGATGACCTCTTTTGGCCTTCTGGGACACAGTCTGTTCCCCCACCCCCCCACCCCTAAGCATGGGCCAAGAAAAGACTTCAATAATCTCAACACTTGGGAGTCTGAGTTACAAGGATCCTAGAGTTCAAGGATTGCTAGACTACATAATGGGACCCTGCCTCAAAAAAACCTGCTGGGCATAATGGTACATACCTTTAGTCCCAGACTCTGGAATCAGAGGCAGGCAGAGCTCTGTCATTTTGAGGCCAGCCTGGTCTACATGAGAGTTCCAGGCCAGCCAGGGCTACATAGTGAGACCTGTTGAAAACCAAAAAACTAATGTTCCTTATTGAGGCATTAGTATCTTGTTTGACATTATTTCTTCCTCTTGCCAAATCAGGGTTTTTTTTTTTCTCTGAAAGGTCAGAAGTTTTCAGCAAACATTCCTTGGTCCTTTCTGTGTGTCTGGCTCTGAGCTGATGCCACAGGAAGAAAAAAATCCAGTCCAGCTCTAGGGCTGGGGAAAGAAGGTGTCAGTATCAGGGATGATTGAGTAATGTTGGTATTATGTGCTGAGGGCTTAGTTGAAGGAAACTACAGGGACTCTAATCCTGTGCAGAAGGGGGTTTTAAGTGATTAGAGAGTACTGAAGGGCAAAGACTTAGTGGACTCACCCTCTAGTGACTAGCAGAAATCACAGAGGGAGGTATGTTTCAGAATTGTGGGCCTAGAAAGATT